ATTATGTCTGTGCTCCATCTCCCTTTCCCAGCACCTTTCTTCACACTCCTTGCTACAAAGCGAGTGTTTCTCAAAACATTAATAAAACCCCCAAGCATGAAGGAGAGAGACCTTATGTCCCCCAGACCTTATCACAATTTACACATCAGTATAAATTATGTGAAATGGTGGGTAGATTATTGCCTATCACACAGGGGGAGTCTTAGCTGAGAGTAATTTTTCTGCTGAGTGGCATCAGCCACTAATGCCATTTGGTAAGAGGAAATTGAATTTTAGTCAGACAAGAAACAACTGGAGGCATGTTGTGATAATGGTGATGGGTGAGCCGTATGAACACTCAGGATGAGCCTCTGAGGAAAATCTAGTCCTGTTGAATTCACTCAGTCTAAGCAATCACCAGTGAACCTCACACTTCAAGTTTCCCTCTGCTTCTTGGGGAGCTGAACCACATTGTAGTGGATAAACAGGGATTTACTGAAATTGTCCCACTTAGGCTATTCATAGACTAACCTCAATTCCCAGAACAATGTTTCTTTGATCCCTGTTTGGTTTGATTCGGTTTTACTCTACTGGGAAGAGTGATCTCCACATATGCTTTCTTATATATTTTGTTATTATGGAGTTTTTGATTTGCTTTTAGAAAAGAAGCAGGAAAGGGCTTAAGGAAGGAACAAAAAGGCCTCAGTTTTATTATAATCAAAAGTGCTCTGTGCCAGGCACTGGTGGCTCACACCTGTAATCATAGCTACTTAGGAGGCTGAGACTTGAGATCACAGTTCAAAACCAACCCAGGCAGGAAATGAGGCAGGAGACTCAAGAGTTCAAGACCAGCTTGAGCTTCATAGTGAGACCTTGAAGTTACCTGGTTCCATTTTCACATATGCACACAATTGCTTTTTGATTCCTTTTGGCTACTGAATGTGTTTCTTTTGAATGTGTTACCATACTGAGATGGGCCATAAGAAAGCACATCTTCAGAGCTTATATTTGGAAATATTATTTTTGGGGGGGCCCGATTGTGGGGCCTGAACTCTGGGCCTGGGCGCTGTCCCTCAGCTCTTCAGCTCAAGGCTAGTGCTCTACCATTTGAGTCACAGCGCCACTTCCGGCTTTTTTTCTTTTTGCTTATGTGGTGCTGGGGAATCAAACCCAGGGCCTCGTGCATGCAAGGCAAGCGCTCTACCACTGAGCCACCTTCCCAGCCCCATATTTGGAAATATTGTCTGAGATCTTGGACTAAGGTGCTCCAGTAAACTGTACTTTGATTTAGCTGATTGCTCTAAATTTGAATAAAGTGAGCATCTTCATTAATTGGCTGTCCAAAAATTACACCAGCTATCTGACATAGAGGCTACAAGCAACTAGATATCAAGCAGAGGAAAATGGCCAGGTCTCTTCAGAATAATTATTTTAGTGGGCATGTGCTATTTGGGATTAGATGTACTGATGGAGACATGTATCCATGTAGTAAGGGCTATCTTCTCCCAATGGGAGAAGATGAAAGAACAGACCCAACTTGGTGATCCTCAGAGGATAAGCAAGAAGTGGAGGAGGGTGTAGGGTTTTTTTTGTCTCTTTCTCTGAGGAGTTTCTCTGACTACTCCAGCACCATGGCTGGGATATCAGCCTCCTTTTATTTGGTAATGGATCACCCAACAAAGCCTTGGCATTCTGAGGACTCAACCCAGAAACCCAGCCTGCCTTGGAGGGCTCTGTTCTTTGCATTCATGTTCCTTATTTTCTTCACACTAGAACTCTGTTTTATTTTCCTTTGTCTAATTCACACAGAATCTCTGAAATGGATCATTCTACATCTGAAACACACAAATGTCTCCTCCCTAAATGTTTTCAAATTCTAGTACTGGTTTTACTCCCCCAGTTCCCACCTACCCTCTCAAATGTCTGACCTGGAACTGGATCGGATCAGCCACACTCCTGGATCTCTGCACCTTTTTCCCATGGTCTTTGGTGCTTCTCCAATAATTTCCCCTCCCTCTTGGCTCAGATCCCCTGTACTCTCTGTGGGACTGCATGGCCACACACATGATGTAATCTGATGCTGAAAGCCTTGACATACAATGGTATCCCCAACAATGTAGTAGCAAAGGGCCTTGTATGATGGCATAACCCAGCTCCCGCTGTATGAGGGGCTGTGTTTCATGTAAGTTTATGGGATGTCAAAGATGGGAGGCTTTGCACTGGAAACAAGATCATTCTTTGTAAGTAGAAGGTAAGAACCTCCCTAAAGGCTGAAAAACTGGCAAGATGAAAGTCTTCCACATGAACTATTGGTTAAGAAATAGGAAGTCATAAACCCATGCAGATAGACTAAGACTAACCCAGTCTCTGTAAGCTATCGTAGAGGTTTTTTGGTGGAGGGAGAGGAACAACAGTGTTAACCCTATAAACTCTGAGAATATATTTACTGTAGTGTGATCAGAAACTTATGCTGTGTAAGCTCAGTTATCTTATATATCCTGCTTCTGTTTCTAGCTTTCTTAGAGAATGTTGTTTAATCCAGTCTTTTTGTAAAAACCAGCTTACTGTGGCTATGCTTAGAGATACTAAAGAAAGCATGGGGTCTGGGAAGGTGGCTCAGTGGTAGAGTGCCTGCCTTGCATGCATGAGGCCCTTGGTTCGATTCCTCAGCACCACATAAGCAGAAAAAACTGGAAGTGGCACTGTGGCTCAAGTGATAGAGTGCTAGCCTTGAGCTGAAGAGCTGAAGGACAGCATCCAGGCCCAGAGTTCAGCCTCCATGACCAGCAAAAGAAAAAAAAAAAGCATTTCTGTACACTTCTGAGTCAGTGCTTTGAGAACAATATAAATTTCATTAAATATGTGTTGGGTATATGGCGAAGGCAGATGTGATACTGAAGATAATAGCACGACATAGTTGTAGAAGAACAAGCACAGCGGTTGAATCATTTTAGACTATACCGTATTGTAGGATTTCCTTTACAAATTTCTTTGGGAAAATCAAATTTCTAAGTACTGCATAATACATATTTTTTATGTCAGCAGTGCCTTGGATTATTTAAACATTCTGTGGTACAACACTTAGGATATTCCCAACTTGCTTTTAAGAACAGTTAGAAAGGGAGAACACTTCCTTGGTGCCATACAACTTTCCCCTCATTCTTCAGTATGAGGGCATACAAGGAGGAAAGCCCAAAGGGAACACATTTGCTCTCAGTGAACCACCAGTGTTTGAAAATACTCACTCATACCTTGTTCTTCCCTATCTTTAAGTGACTATTCATTTCTCCTTTCCAGGTTTATTTGTTCTTGTGAATGTCATCTGTTCTGGTTTCTGAAGATTTGGCTTCTCTGGTTTGCTAGGGTGGCTACTAAATTGGCATGCTACTGCCTATGACACCACTACTTCCCAATCTGTGCTATCTGTAAATACATACATTTTCCTTCTCCTCTCCTGTTTTCCCTTTAAAACAGGAAAAAGTTGGTCACAAAGGTGACACTGAGTCAATGTGTGGGAATGGTCCTCACATACACTATGAACCAATAAGTGTCAGAATGCAATTGAATGCAAGCCTTCTAAAAATCCACTACGCATGAGCCAGAGTCTCCTGGCTGAGGGAATGGAACTAGATATTTTGTTGTTGTTGTTGTTGAAGTCTTCATTCAAGAAACACATTAAGTATCTACTTACTAGGTCCTAGCCATTATTTGAGGTGTTGGGAACTCCACCATGGCGGTTGCAGATGAGGCAACCAACCAACTAAACAAACAAAAAACCTCCTTTTGGAAATTTCATTATCAAAACTTAGATACGTAGTTTCATCATCCTGAACAAACTCTTTCATGAGAAAGAGAATCCCAGCTTTTCCCAGTTTCTGTGCTCTCTCTCTCTCTCTCATTTATTTTCTAGCGAGAAGGATGATTTACTGCAGAAGCCTACAGGCAGGCTGCACCCTCTGGGATATCCCCCTTCTCTCCCTACTTCTGCACCACCAGGCCTAGTCGGACCCAATCCGGATCCGGATTCAGGGCGTTATGGAATCCCAGGTCAAGCTGAGGATTGCTAGCGTCGGTTTCGACCTCCTTCTGCTTTCCTCTGAGCCGTGCCAGCCGATGATGGAGGACAAGGAACCCACCTGGCTCTGCACCGCCTCTGAGAAAGCAAGGAGGAGGGCTGGTGAAAATCCTCCCAAGGCAGCTGATCTCAAGATCTGATACCTAGACTGGGAGCTGGGGTGGATGGTCGGTCTGTCGCTTAGGCTTGGGGAAGTTCGTGCATCGAACTGCTTTCTCATGGCTTTTTTCTTCTATTCAAAACAACCGATCGCCCTTTCCAGTCAAGCGGAGGCCACTGCAGCGTACCTGCCCCGCCCCGTTTGCTTGCCCAGACAACAGAACCCCTTACTGCAGCTTCTGGACCATCCTCGTCTCCTCCTTTCCCCCCGCCCCCCTCCCTATTTCTTCTCTACTTCCTGGTTACCATGGAGACACACGTCATTTACGTGCCGTGCGTCGCCTTGGAAACAGAGGAGCATCCGCGGCGCCGCTAGGGGAGACCCGCCCCTGCCGCCGCCGCTCCAGCCACACTTTGCGGGGCGCTGCCGGTTAATGGCCTGGGGGAGTCCCGAGTCCGAGGACGCGCTGCGGGGCTCAGCCTCCGACCTGGATCTCCTCCTCCGCCGGCACCTCGGGGACACGGGGAACCTGCAGGCGCGCTCTGCTCGCCGCCGTGCGGGGCAAGCGGTCGGGCGGACACACGGGTGCAGTCCCGGAGGAGAGGAGAGAGTGCTTTTGCACCCCTAGAAGGGAGACCCCCTCCCCTCCAAAAAGCTGTCCTTGGGACCCTCTCCGGGCTTCGTCCTGCTGAGTCTTCTGGGTCTCCCTGGATCCCATCAGCGCCCTCTGCTTCTCTTGGGAGCCCCCCCACCCCCATTTGGGTCATTCCCCACCTTTCCAGGCTCCTCTGCGCCTTCATATCCTCTCCTCCACCCCGTCCCTCACCCCCCCCGCCCCCCGGAGGCCGGGCTGGACGCCATCCAAGGCCACCACCACCCGCTTGTGCCGCTCAATGGAGGACGGTCTGCTGGAGATGATGACCAAGGACGGCGGCGACATGCCTGCGCCCCTGGAGGTGTCCACCGTTCCGGCCGTGGGGGACGTGATCTCCGGGGAGTACAACGGCGGCATGAAGGAGCTGATGGAGCACCTGAAGGCCCAGCTGCAGGCCCTGTTTGAGGACGTGAGGGCCATGCGAGGGGCCCTGGACGAGCAGGCCTCGCACATCCAGGTGCTCTCGGACGACGTGTGCGCCAACCAACGGGCCATCGTCTCCATGTGCCAGATTATGACCACCGCGCCCCGCCAGGGCGCCTTGGGTGTGGTCGGTGGCAAAGGGAGCTTTCCCGATGCCCCCCAAGAACCGGAGAGCCCTCCACCTGGGATTGGGGACACCAGCTTGCTGGATCACGATCCGGAGGACGAGGAGGACGAAGATGAATTGGAGGAGAAAGAGATGCCCAGCCTCCCCACACCCACGAGTCACTGTGAGCGCTCGGAGAGCCCCTGTGCTGATCTCCTCGGGGAGGACGGGCCACTTGTGGAACCCCTCGATCTGCCTGACATTACGCTGCTGCAGCTGGAGGGTGAGGCGTGTCTGTGAGGGGACTCCTTGGCGGGCTGGGTGGATGGATGAGGGGCCGGGGAGGGGGGGAAACCACTAACTTCCACGGCTGGCTTTGGGTTTCTGAGTATTGACCGCTGCCAGGGGACTGAACCGCGAGGTGTGTAGCTTGCGCCCGTCATAACAGCTGCGCCTCTGAGGCAGGTGTGGAGAAAAGACTCCCTCGGGAAGGATTTGTAGAAGAAAGACTTTGGGAGCCTCGAGATTTCTATTTTTGCCCAACCTAGCGTCATAACCAACTGCGGAAAAGGTGAGATTCCGGGAGAGAAAAGTACGCACCTCCGGACTCCTGATCGAAACCCTGCCCTGCCCTTTCCCCTTCCCCCAGGCAACCGGAGAACCCCTGAATTATGTAAATAAAATTAAGCTTTTTTTTTTCTACTCTGAAAAGGACTTATCTAGGACTATGGGGGAGGGGGGGCAAATGACCTCTTAACGATGTACCTAGAAAATAAAGGAATCTGGGGGTAATTCTGTTCCGGCAACAGGAAACGAACCCTTTTTCTGAAATCCAAGATATTCAGAACTCTGCAGAAACCTCTCCCCCCTTCTCACCCCCCCTCCCAGATCTCTGCGGCTTGCTGATTGGTAAAGGAAGCATGGGGAGGGAACTGGCAGCCCTAAGAATCTGAGTGAATGAGGTTCCTTGGGCCCCTGGGCTGGGAGGAGCTGGCTTTGAATGTGCATGAAGATATAATAGATCAACCTCTAGGATTTTTGCATGCAGAGCCAATCCTCCCTTGTCACTGACTTCATCTGGGATTGCTTTTCTACTGGCTGGGACTTAGAGAACAAAGAGCCCAGTTCACAGGACACAGGAAAGAGACTTAGGGGTGGGTGGGTGTACACTCAGCAACAGCCCAGATTTAGGGGACATTTGTGGGATTGGGGAGGGAGGGCGGGAGGGCAGGGCTACAGCCAAAAACTGTCTCTTCTGGCTACACCTGCTTAACTTCAGTTCCTTTCCTTTCTGACTCGCTGCCTCTCGGTGTTGCCTCCATAAATGTCTTATATGTGCTTCTGTGTGTCCACTTGTGCAATAGTGTGTGAGCCCTGAGGGGCAGGGCTGGTAGCTCTGGTGTTAGGTTCCAGGGGCTTCAGACCCTTCTGTGAGCCCCAGGTGATCATGGCGCTTTCCCTTTCTCTCTCCCCTTGTGTTCCCCTCCCCAATCAGGGCATGGAGCATGCTGCTGTCCTGAGTTTCCTTAGCTGATGTGCCTCTCTCCTATCTTTCTGAAGTGGTGACTTTGTGTGCCCGTTCCCCTCCTTGGTGTATTCCTTTTCAATGCTTTCCTTGGTGTGAACCTTAATAAAAAGGCGTCATCTCCCCTCCTTGCTGACTGGTGCTAAGGGGAATGTCAGGGTGGGACTTTTGGGTTCACTGCGTGGACCAGGCTGAGTGTGTAAGGAAGAGCCATGCCTTCCCTCCTCTCTCCTTGCCTCCAGTTTCGAGGAATTGGCTGTCCCTGTTTTGATTGGGACAGGCATTGCCACTGCTACCTGCTTCTTCTGCCCTGAATATGATCTCAAACTGGACAGACAAAGGTGGGGGTATGTATTAAGATTCCCAAGCTAACAAGGAGTTTTTAGTAGCCACCACTCCACATGTGCATTGGACCTTTCCAATCAAGCATCTGGCCCCTGGGAGATAATTTCTGAATTGGAGTCCTGGAATGGCAGGTATGACACCTGTTATACAGAAGAAGTGAAGAGTGTGTGTGTGTGGGGGGGGAGAGGGAGTGGGTATTATTCCGGAAGGATTGCCCAAGATCTCTGGGAATAGAATAACATATCACAAAGGAAAGCACAGTAACTGCCCAGGGGCCTCTAGTGGAGGATGCCTGTAAGGTATTCCCCCAGGAGTGTACACTGACATCAGCTCAAAGCTGCTCCTTTGGGCAGTGGAGATTTCCCCAGATTGCTACAGATCAAAATCTAAGAGCAGAATAAGCTGCTGCCTCTCTCTCTCTCTCTCTCTGTGTGTGTGTGTGTGTGTGTGTGTATGTGGGTGCGCATGTGTGCGTGAGTGCACACGCATCTTTGAAAACTTGCTCATGCTTTTTGCAGAGAGGCACCGATCTTCGTCTCTCAGTTCCAACCCAGAATCGATTTTATGGGTTGTATAAAATGGGGATACAAAAGTTGTAGGGGAGAAAAATGTTTAACACCTAGAAAAAAATTGTACTTATGAAGCAACTGTACAAATGTTAGGTTTCCTTAGAGTATTCTTGGGGGTAGGTGAAAGTGGTCACTGACACTTCTGGGAAAATAAAACCTCCCAGGGAAGGTTCCAGAAACACTCTTTTAAATATAACCCTATCCAAGTCCTCGTTAGTAAAGAATTAAGGATGGAGAATGATGAGATTCCCAAGCTAGCATGGATCTTTTCATCTTAAAGGTCCTATAGCTATGACTGTGTGACTATATGTCATATAGCTAGAGATCTTGGGGACCAGCTCTGTATGCACAGGATGCTACAGAAGGCCTTGAGTTATGCAGTGGCTGCGAAATGTGTGCCAGGGCCCTAGGGAGGGTAGCTAGAATATGTAAGTAGGCAAGTGTCCCTGAGGGTTGGGAGATTGCTGTCACAGTTCTAGATTTCAGCACTCATTACCAGCTGTCGGCATCATTTATTGAGCATTGTATCCAATTTTATGCCCCAAGAATCCTAGGAAGTGGGTATTAGTATTATTATTTTTACATAACCATTCAAAACCAGACTGATTTGTTCAAGGTCACAGACTGCTACTGGGCAGAATCAGGACTTATACCTTAGTCTGATTGAAAGAACCCTGGATGGGAACACTCTACTAATTGCTCTTATTGAAACATTCAGAGAACCCCATTTCCTCAAAGACCCTGAAAGAATCCTGAAAAAAAAAAGGAAATCATCTTTAGCCACTTTATGTCTTCTCAATTGGAACAGGAAATTTCAATTTCAGTTTAGATTAGTGATTCTTATGAGACTCTAGTGTGTGACAATATACAAACAGAATCAAGACGATGGTGGACTAGACATGCTGTTTGATTGCGGACAGCCGATGTTGCCGGGTATGTATTCCCCGACACAGTTTCATGTGCTGGTGCCTTCCCATTCCCTGGAGCTCGGGTCACCATTTCCTGACATAGCTTAGCCAGTTTGACTCTTTACAAAGTTCTTGTTGGGTCCTTTAACCCTTGACCACACTTTAGTTCCTCTTTCTTATACACACTGTTCCAAAATACATCCTCATTCCCGTAGGGCCTTCTAGAAATTCTCTACAAGCTATTCTCTTTCTACAAGTCTTTTTATTTTTTGTAAATCTCCCTAGAGAAACGGATTCTTCAGCCTCTATAGTCACCTGCACCCAGAGCCCCTCACAGAGATACAGCACATGTTGGTTCTCCCACATCATCTGTTCTCCTGAACTCCCACAAATGTCAGGTTTCTTCTATGGAAAGTTCTAGATAAGTGAGTTTTAGCTGGACCTTCTAATCACTGACTTATGGCTAGAGGTCACAACTGAACCTCAGGGAGGCTTACTTCTTGAAATCAAATGCAAAGCATTTACATTTTCTGGTCAGAAGGGCCATGGTTTCAACTTAAAACACAGGAATTAGAGCTGGGCCATGGGTAACTAATCCCCATTATCCCAGCTATTCAGGAGGCTGAGACCTGAGGGTTGAGGTTTAAAGCCAGCTCAAGGCAGACAAGTCCATGAGACACTCTTATCTCTAGTTACCGCGCGCGCGCGCACACACACACAGCTGGAAGTGAAGCTGTGGCTCAAATATTAAAGCACCAGCCTTGAACGAGCAAAGCTAAGGGATAGTCCCAGGTCCTGAGTTCAAGCCCCAGTACAGGCAATATAAATAACAAAAAATAACAAGAAATAACCTGTTTGCACCTGGTACTCCTAGCATTCCTCCCTCCTACAAACCCCAGAGTATTCCCCACTCTAAACTGCAATCTTCATCTAAATCTGATCACTTGCCATCTGGTCAACCAGCTCAAGCTTTATTGACACTCATCACACTTCCCCTGAGTCTGGTAGTCCTTGATGTTTGCCAGAGCACTACTGCTGATGTACAAGAAGTAAGCAAATGGATCCCTTCATGGCTCTGTGCTGTCCTTTATGTCTGGGCCCAACACCACACTGCATATCTCATCACAACTGAGTTTGAGGCACTCAGATCTCTAGCTGGCTTTTGAGGCCTCTCTCAGGGGTTAGGCTTCATTTCAGTGCAAAACCACACACACCTTTACAGCACTAAGGTACAACATTAACTTGCTAACATCTACTCTTAGAGAATTAGTTACTTCCCTAAAGTGCCTACCAGCCTCCAGCACGAACATGCAGTTTTATATGATCTTCAACATCATCACAGATTATGGTTGCTGCTTGATAGGTATAATGACATGAGTCACCTAAAAGCTTTCCAGAAACAAGCATCATTTCTTCCCCACATGTACTCGTGTATATTTTTTGCAAGACATAAAATGCTTTGCTTTTAAAAGGCAACTTTTCATAAGCATCTTTCCTCACCTATGTGCTTAGAATAGAAATGTCAGCCAAGATGTTCTGAGATGATAGAAATAACAAAGGACTTATCCTTCCAATTTTTAATTGTAGCCATCACCCCCCCCCCTTTCGCTTCTAGACTGTCCCCAGAAGGTGAATTCCCTCAGAGGGGAAAAAAATAGCTTTTCTGCTTGGAAGCACTGTGTTTAGAGAAGGAATCCTACTCTGTAAACAATGCTGTAATGGTGCCACCTGTCGAGAGAAAGAGACATTACAAGTGAATTTATGACTCCCAGCTAGCACTACCGAAAACCTCCTAAAGGCCTGGCTTTCTGCCAAATGGTGGGTGGCAAGGAGAGATGAAGAAGCTGAATAAATAGAATGCAGTGACTCCACACTGGAATCCCTTCCCGCCTCGCCCACATATCTCTAGTCCAAAAATTAACCAGATCTCTGAAAATTCATGCTCAGCAATCTGCT